AGTGGAAGAATTCAACATGCTTGTTGCGATGAAGCCATAATGCTGTGAAAAGATGGCTGCTAAGCTCGAAATTACAGTGCTGGGTATGTTGCCAATAGATGCCTCCTCTTGCGCCGTTCCATCCAAAATCCACATCTAGAAATGCTCCTCTTTCTCTCAAAGCTTAGCAACAGGTCCAAGGTTGACCTTGCCGTGCTCACAGGTATAGCAAATCTCACCACCCGATCCGTCGGCCTTCTCTGGGTTCCACTTTCTCATAACGGCGCGGCAGAGGCCAAGTTTCTTGCCCAATGAGGTGACCTCGCACTCGACTCGGGCGTATTCGCCCTCAGGGATCGGCTTGAGATAGGTGCAGTTGAGAGTGCGGCTGACGCTGCCCAACTCCCACCAGTTCTCCTTCGCCTGTGTGGTGAGGGCAAACGATGTAAGCATGTCGAAGATGGTTGCAACGGCACCGCCGTGAAGGTTGTAGCCCGAGTTGATCAGCTCGGGAACCACCTTGAGCTTCCACGCGGCGTGGCAGAGCGGCTTCGACTTGTCCTTCGCATTCTTCTCGCGGACTTCGCACTCGACGAGTTCTATGTTCTTGATAACGGGAGTGTCCCAGAACTGGTAGGATGTTGGTATTCATTCCGGGTTCGTTACGGCGGGAGGCGCACCTTGTAGTCTGCTCGTCCTTCGACATACTTCGTAAACTCCTCTGCGCGCTCCCAGGGAGTTTTCCTGATGTCGATGTTAAAGCTTGAATCGTAGGCGGCCATGATGATGATGAAAGTCTTGCTGGATAGCGGAGAGGAAGCGCCGCAGCGCCGGGGTATATAAATCACACCTACCTCATTTTTTTTGAATCGCCGTGATACGCCCGACTCAGGGGGTGGATACAGACAATGACCGATAATGGAGCAAAGCGGTGCCGTAGACCACAGGTTCTGGCTAGGCGACGCAGTCGTATGAGTCGCGATCGCAAGCTTCCCCACCAGGCGCCAGGGTGCCGAGGTGAAGGTTGGCTCGTCGGCCACGCCACACTCTGGCAACCACCTCCCACTATGTTGGCTGTGTCCGTGGCTGGTGCGTCTCTTATCGATAAACCCAAACATCCTCCGCTGTGGCCGGGCAGCTTGGTTGAGCTCCCCGATCATCACAGCTCCACACCCTCCGCATCCTCTCTCCGCTCTTAGCGCCATGGCTCCAAACGTCGAGGATTCGCCTTTCTTCAAGGATGCCAAGACTCAGGGACGAACCATCACAAGAGGTGAGTTGTTTCGCTGTCCCACTGTCACAAGTCTAACGTCTGCCTTCAGATCCACCCAAATTCGACTTTGAATCCTACATTGCCAACTATGAAGGTATGTGCTCGAGACTCAGTCACCTCCACCAGTGATTAACAATTGTTCCATCATGCCAGGTCGCACGCGAATGGAGCGCCTCCATCACATCGGCATCACGTCCACCTACCTCTCAATCGACGCTCTGCGTACCGCCATCACCGAAGCGAAGTATGGCCAGGACGTAGATATGTACAACACTCTCACAGACCGCTTGCACACCATCGATCCCGACGACCCACTCGGCGTACCAGACACTGCTTGGTTGGAACGCAAGACGAAGGAAGTCAAGGCAGAAATGGACAGTCTAGAGCAGCAGCTCAAGCAATACAAGAACAATCTGATCAAGGAGAGCATACGGGTATGTGCACTTGTACACGAGGCTGAGGTCGTCACTGACGCGGGAAGATGGGCTATGACGACTTGGGTCGCTTCTACACCAGCATTGGCGAACACAACTCGGCAATGAAGGCGTTTGCACGCGAGCGCGACTACTGCACCAGTACTCAGCACGTCGCCGATATGTCTTTGAAGCAGATATACTCTGGCATTCAGCAGCGCAGCTGGACCAGCGTCCACTCCAACGTGTCCAAAATCCAGCCCATGTCTCTCAAGCCTGAAGAAAAGGCCAGGTTGGAACCCATCTGCAACGCCGTCATGGGGCTCAGCCATCTTGCTTCGGGAAACTTTGACAATGCCGCGAGGCGATTCTTGTTAGTCAACAAATCTTACATGTTCACGGACCCACAAGCAGGAATCGCGTGGCAACGCCATGTGTTGACTGGTAACGACATTGCCGTGTACGGCGGTCTCTGCGCTTTGGCATCCATGGACCGCTCTGAGCTGCAAAGGAACGTTCTTGAAAACAGCGACTTCCGAGAATTCCTGGAGCTGGAGCCGCATGTGCGTCGTGCCATAAGCCTGTTCTGCGGCAGCAAATACACACAGTGCTTGGAGATCTTGGAGGCTTACCGCACCGACTACCTCCTCGACCCTTATCTCTATCCTCACGTAAAGGACTTGTACAGCCAAGTTCGCAGCAAGAGTATCGTCCAGTACTTCATTCCCTTTAGCTGCGTGACCCTGGACGAGATGGGCAAAGCATTCGCTTCGACAGGAGGGGTGTCCATTGAAGACGAGCTTGTGGAGATGATTCAGCGGGGCGTTCTGAATGCACGCATCGATCTTGTTGAAAGGGTAAGGACTCGTGCTTTCCGTGTCCTTGGTCGATGTAGCTAACAGCATCCAGCTACTCGTGTCTCCTCTCACGAACCAACGTACGGAGGTCCACACCGCCGCCCTCAAAATGGCACAGGAGTACGAGTACTCCCTTCGGCTTCGTCTTGTTCGTATTGCAATGCTCAACGAGGGCATCATCGTTCGTCAGCCACAGCCTCAAGGCCAAAACTTTGGTCAACATGGGAACGGTGTCAATCCTGATCCAATGGCGTACCCACCTGCGATGATGAGGGAAGAGACTTCTTGATTGGCAATGGATGGGTTGCATGAGAAATGAGATACATGATCATATCCGGCGTTGCTGTTGCAAGTCATGGGCATGGGTGGGTCTTTTCGATTGACTTGTTTCACGGAGCACTGACGGAAGATTTCTAGAACGGAGTCTGGCATGCTGGAGGTAGATAGTGATCGCATAGGAAGTCTTCAAGCAGGATCTCTGCAAACTCTTCAAAAGCTTCCAGGGATTCTCATTTGGGCTTGGGTTGCTGAGGATTAGTCCAACCCTATTTCGTAATCCAAATCCTCTTTGCAACGGTTGCTTCTGTCTGTGGTAGAATCTTTCCTGTGTTACCTCATCTCCCTGTGTTACCTGATGTCCAGAAAAAGTATGTGTTGGACGGACAAGAGAGACTGATACTGACTACCTACAGAGTAGCCATCGAAGCGGCGTCGAAAAGCAGCCTCTGACCGAGTCTAAACCACAAAATCCTTGCACGGCTCGAAATATTCTCGGGCAATATCGTTCTGCTCCTTGCGAATGACCACACGCTCAATCTTTAGCTTGTCTGCCACCGCAAACTTGCCGCCATGGTCACCCAATGTCGTCGCAGCTCGGTTGACCCTTTCAGGGTCAGTGTAGACCGCAAAGTCGAGCGTAGGAAATCCGATCCTGTTGGGGCTCACTGTCTTGGTGCCAGACGTGTACCACAACACAGCAGCAGCCACCGCAAGCAGCACAACCGACATACCGATGAAGAGGGCGAATGATATAGGGCGCGCGATGATCTGCCACGACATGACGGAAACGTCGACCTGGGTATACATTGCGGCGGGCAGACCTTAGCGCGGAGCAGTGAGGTTCCATGCATCGTCATGGGCGCCGAGAGAGTTGGCGTTGAAGGACTCCAGTGCGACGGCAAGAAAGCGCCGGAAGAGCCGCTTCTCCAGACCTTTGGCCACCACCACGGCCTCTGATTCCGCGCATGCCGAATGGTGCAGCGAGCCTGTGCTATTCTGATTCCCTTTTCGAAAGAGACGAGGAGCGTTTCAGGTTCCCGCGAGGACGAGTGGACCAAGACCAGGTAGCGATCTTCCCTTTCGTACGGCGAAGACATGGTTGCAAAGTGCGACGACTACTCTCAAAAGAACGTGAGGAGAGGTGCGACTATTGACAAGGCGAGGTGTTGGAAGAGCGGAAAAAAGAGAGGAAAGGAGGGTACAACTGAAAGAGCTCAACGTCATACTGTTTTCTGCAGATGTTGAAGGAAAGGTTCTGTAATTTGGGTGTGTGGGCGGGTGGTATAGCCAGCTCACGTACCACGGTGTTTAACGCGTCCAGGCGCAGGCAAGAGCGCGGTCTCTTTTTGACGCGAAGGACCGTATCGATTAAGGGTAGTCATGCCATGACTTCGCTGTCCTTTTATGAACAAGTAGACTTAAAGGCCGGTGGAAGTGTCGAGGGAATTATGTCCCGCTTACTTCCCATCTCTAACACTCCCTCCAGATTCGTCGACCCCTTCACTCCTGGAATCATAATTCAAAAAAGTCACGATATCGAGCAAATCCCCCAAAGACACAAAAGTCTCCATACTCCGTCCACCAGCTTTGACTGAATCGGCGCTGCCTTAAAACGTCGACACACTCTTAGTATCCAATGCGATTCAACAGCAAAATCGTGATGGCCGACCAACACGTCTTTCTTTCTCTTGGCTCTTTGCGGATGCAACCTCGAGAATGGAGGTATATATGCATCTTAACTCGAGGATGATCTTGCCTGGTAAGCAGCCATACCTACTAGCCGCTTAGCTATACGCACACACACACGGGGGGCGTCTTTCTTTGCGTGAAATATCGAATTGAACTTTAAATTAGACAAAAACAATAGTAACATCTTCAAAAAACAGTGCATTGGGCCCGCAGCTTATGACCCCACAAAATTGAAGTCTCGGTTCCTTGGCTGCTTGTTGTTGTCGCAAACTTGAATGGTCTCTTTGCATTCATGGCTACTTTTTGGCTGTTGAAAGCGGAAGACCGCCATTGAGCGTCCGTTGAGCAATCAGGTTCCTACTTTCTCCAGTCACAGTGACGTTTTGAAATCAGGGTTCCAGCTACGACCGAAACTTTAGGCGTCAGTGGGCACGGGAGCTGGTACTGGAAGCAACTGTACTTAAAGGTACAGTGTTGCTACCACCATATGTCAGCGATCCATCACGAAACGGGTTGGTGGTGTAGTGGTAACATACGCTGCGGCTACTGTCGCTCCCGCAGCAAGTCCTAGGTTCAATTCCTGGCCAACCTGCTGGCTGTAAACGTTTTGTAGGGCGATTTTCTTTTTTGCTCTCCTCGTTTGAAGTGTGGTAGCGATGCACGCCCCTGGATTGCGCGCCTGTGGTTCAAGGGTGACCAACGAACGTCACTTCCAAAGCATGCTAGAACAGTTCAGTACAGGAGGCAGGACTGTTGTTTGTGAGTCGCTGTGCACTAGGAGGTGCCTTCATTGGGTTGTGCAAGAGCTTCGGGAGAGATTCTGTTGATTGACCGCGCCGGCAGGTAATCCCTTTGTCCTGGAGATGCAGACGCCGTCATGATCACTCGACCCTTTTCGGCAATCACTGGGTCTTTCCATACAACGGCCATACCGTCTGTTGTTCGCACAGTCATAACAGCAAGTTTCCAAACAGCTATAAAGCAACCTTTGCCACGCTTCTCATCAAGCTACAAATCCACAACTTCGCAAGCTGCATCTGAGACCAAGTTTGCCCACTCAACCGAAGATCTTGACTCTTCTAGTCAACCTAGCAAACCGGCAATCCCAGAAGGTTTTCCCACGATGACGTTCTTTCGCCGCACTTCCAGTGTCGCCGACAGCAAACTCGACTCATCCACCAAGCACTACCCCTCTAAGGAGCAACTTCAACACTGGTCCATCCACTCCAATCACCACACCAGGGGAATGAGTGGCTCTCTTCTGGGATCTCGATACTTGCAACCTACAAGATCTATCTGCTCCACCTACTCTGACGAAGAGTTCATCACGCAACGCCCATACTGCAGCCCAGGCGGCCCGCTGCCCTTCTCCATCTACAACTTTATTGCGCCACGAGCCAAGACTGCCGCGCAATCGCCTTCATCCACCAAGACCCCTAGCGACATGGACGGACCGTTGGTCGCAGCGACAGAAGCAGAGCAGAGCGTCTCCGCATCTTCTGCTCATAACACGTCTCTCGCCAGCCGGCGCGACGGCCAGCCCCTTCCCAAGCCTGGGCAGCCGAAGCCAGCGCCTAACCCCAAGCCGCAGAACCCCAGTCAAAACGACGATCCATTCCTCTGTGTAGTCTGCTCGCTCGTGCCTGTCGAAGAAGTCCAAGCCAACGAACCGCAGCATCAAGAACACGAGAAGCGGCAAGAGCAGCCGGCGTCCATCTCCGACGATGGCGCCCGCGACAGCGAGTGGGATCGCGCGAGCTTGCCAGACTCCGATTCCGATTTTGGCGCCAAGTCTCGCTGCTCCATGGTTTGTTCCTGCTACTCATGCTACTCCGGCTACACTGGCTGCACCGACTCCGAGGGCAGCGTGACAGTCTCTGAGACTTCGACGCAGGCGTTGTTAGATGATGAGGAAGAAGGAGAAGAAGAAGAAGAAGAGTTGCCAGAAGAAGGCGAAAGCGGCCATGGAGCCGTGCAAGTCAAGCCGCACTGCGGAAGTGGCGACGGTCAAGCCAACGACGACGGCATCGACGACGTCCATTCCTTCCACTCTGCATCTTCTGAGGGCTGGGTCGACGTAGCGGAGCAATTGCAGCAATTCCATCAATGCGACCGACGTGAGGAGGAGCGAGACCTGCCGTGGCCGTCTTGCGGTCTAACCTCGTACAGCCGCGATTCTCCGCCGCCGCCGCCGCCTCCGCCACCCAGCTCTCCTCGTCGACACGGCCGCGGAAGTGATGGCAAGATGCTGCGTAAGAAGGTCAAATCCCTGTGGAAGAGAAATCACGATGGAGGAGTGGATAGAGATATGAACTAGGGGGAAGGGACGCGCCAGGGGACAGGGGTTCAGTGACGACGGGTAGGGGCGGCGACATTGCGGGGAGCAGAAATCAATGGGGGCAAATTGAAGGTTCTAACAGGTGAAGCCGGTGCTGCGGGGAGTGATTGGTTGCCTGGATGGTTGAATTGAAGACACAAAGTCTTTCTTCGCCGCGGCGATGGTTGATCAGGGAAAGGATGAACCACACTGCTTGTCAAAGGCAGAAAAGCGCCTCAATGGATGTTTGAGCAACACAACAACTGAAGATTCTGTCGAGTGAACAAGTCACCAAGCAGGAGGCAGACCCATCAAGCCTTGAGCTCATCGTGGAGTGCAGACGGCAAAGTTTATTTCTGTTTGTTTACCTGTTTACTTTGTTTATGTTTGTTATTCTCGGCCAACAACAGTTTTCGCCACGCTGCTCTGCTCTCCTGTCCACTATTTCATCTCCGCACCTCAATGGTTACAACGAGCCCCACGCAGCCCTATGCCTGTATCTCATCAAGGCCACACCTTCAGCCCTCCCCTTGCCCACGGTAGTCTTGCCCTGCCTTTCCGTACCGCAGCGCATCGCAACGCCCCGTGCCGCACCGCACCGCACCGCACCGTTTGCAACCCCCCGTCCCCTCCCTCCCTCCCTCCCTCCTCCGTTCCTGCATCCGCTCCGCATTCATCTATCTATCCATGTAGCTAGATAAACAGACGGATCCGCAGCCGGCTGGACGGGAGGGCGGACGGACGGACGGACGGCCGCGCAGTCGGTCACACCTCACCCACCCACCCACCCAACTAACCAACCAACCGCGTTATGTTTGTGTACATACGGTGCATCCCAATCCCGCGTCCACCACCACCACCACACCCCACCACACCACACCATCGGCCAGTGCCGCCCTGCCCCGCGCCGTGTCGCGTTGCGCGTCGCGCGCGCGTCGTGCCGACTTGCCTGGTTCGTCTGAATAGAGCTGATTGACGACTCGCTTGGCCGCCCGCTCGCTCGCTGGCCCCCGTGCTGTGTGTGCGTTTGTGCGTGCGAGGGCTTTCTGTCTATATGCGGTTGAGGCGCACGCCTGTCTGTGGGCAGAGGTTGTGGAGATTGTGAAGATTATGGGGTGTAGAAGCGCTGCAATGGGCAGGGAGGGCGTGGTGCATGTACCAGCATGGCGCGGTGGATTTGGGAAGAGAGGGTAGTGGTGGGGAGGAATGGCGCTGGAACAATGTGTCTGCGTTGGCGTGTAATATGTCTTGCTATCTCCTTATTCTCCTTTTCTGATTTGTTGGGTAGGGGAAATAGGGAGGAATTGAGGCGATGGAATAGACTCAGTAGGAAAGCAGGATGTTTGGTCGGAAGGAGGTGGATAAGTAGAGAATCCAGCGCAGTCCTTTGGATGTTATGTGCATGCGGGTGCACATACAAGCGTCTCAACGTCATTCCATTAAGTGAAAATGGTGGAAGTACAAAGCACCAAGCAGCACACGGAACGCGTAAGTAGCCCCGCCAGTATTGACACAACAACAACAACGGAAGGAAGCAAAAGTGGCAGCGGGCACGAGGGATCTGATGGGAAGGCCGGGAAAGGGGGTTGGTTGGTTGATTGGATGGTCATGTGCGTCACGCATGCTGCGCATGCACATACAAATGCAGGGGAAGCGGGAAGCAAGCGTCTGAGTAGCGCAGCTGTTGTCTGAAGCCGAGGGACAGGTAAGTTGGAGAAGGGCTAGAATGTCGAAAGAAGGCAGGGAAGGGGAGAGGTTTGCGCTTCATGAGTCGGCGGAAAAAGTATCCAATTGTCAATAGTGTATTACAGCCATCAATTAAGCCTAGTGGAGAAATATCGAAGGAAAAGAAGGATGGGAAAGGTGATGTGCGAGTTTAAAGGGCGCCGCAACACTATCCTGCCGTGCTGTATGCAGGTGCGCTGTGCTGCGTGCGCTCCTTCGCGCGTTGCGGGCCGCGATGAGGATTGCAAGGGGCTGGCTTGCACTTTGCGTGTGCGATAGGAAGAGTCTTGTGGTAGAGTGGGGAATAATGGTAAGACCGCTCTGTGTAGCAAGAAAGAAGAGAAATAGGGGCGAAGTATCCAGGTCTCTGAATCAGGTGGTGTCTTTTTAGGGTGTGGGGCGTGGGAGAGCCCGAGTCAGAAGCAAGAAGACGCGAAGAGAAGCGCAGATCAGATTGCCCGGGGGAATAGGAGTGGACGTGTGGAGAAGACCAGAAAAGCGGAGGAAGATCTAACAACCTTCTTTCTGTTCAACGGTTCGCCGGCTAAAGTTACTCGCGACTTGCCTACTTTTGTAGCCTCGCTACGGCCACACTCTATACATACCCAGTTACTTTATGGACGCAACCTACCTTTGGCACGTCTCATGACGCCGACTATTTGTTCGGCCTCGGTATAGCAGCCCACTGGTGGGTTGTCCTCTCCCACGACAAAAGAAAGCGGCGGAAGACGCGCAAGTCAACGACGCGTAGGCATCGTTTGAACGTGCTTGCAAGACTTGGGAATTTTGGCTCGCTCCACCCCTTTTGCCCCCACAACCCCTCTCTCCAAACCGTTTTTTCATATACGTATTACCTCAACCATACCGCGAGGAGGCGAAAGGAGGATGGGGAGCCGTCCCGCAATCCCGCTGCCCCGCGGCCGCGCGGTACCGCTGCCGCGCTACCACATGACCACTGAACCCGTCGCTCGGTCGAGGCACACGAGACGCGACTGACTGAGGACGTAGGAAACTGACAGGCATGCTGAGCAGCAGAAGCGGCAGCAGCCAAAGCAGCATGGGTTGGCAAAAAGTAAAAATGAACGAGGGGTTGGTGATTATGCTTAACTGACTGCAGATGCCGGGCGAGGGTCATGCTTGCAAAAGGGACCTGGCTTCGACCAAGAAGAGCAAAAGTGGTGAGAGCTGGATGGGCACCCGCCGAGCTGGCCAGAATTCAGCTCCCGGCTTCGGCTTGCGAGCCGGTACTCGACCATGTACCTGCCGCGTACCTGGGGCCGAGGCGGGGCTGGAGGCGGCCGTTGGGGTCAGCGTTGGTCTTGGAGCTGAAAGAGTTGCCATATGACCATCATTTGCAGGTTTTGTTCGGCCTGCTGAAGCTGAAAAAAGGGTCCTCCGGACAAAAAGTATCGTCCATGAAAAATTAGGTGATGAGGTGCGGAGGCATTTCGGTGGAGCTGACCGTGGGCTTGGAGCGGGTCGTGCAACCTCTTGCGCCCTGCCTTCAGCCTGAGCGTATAGTCGCATCGGCATTGACTTTGGATAGGGTT